TGTTCCTAATCTGCCTCCTAGACCAATGTAGGTATAATGTGCAGAGCTGCAGCAGCAGTCATAGCAACAGCATATGGAACTTTTGAAAAATTTAATTGTATGGTCCCAGCCAAATCAACTAAACCATATATTCTGGCTGTGGGGTCCAGCAATCTGTATTTCTTATGTCCCCTGAATAATTTTCATGCATGCCAAAGTCTAAGAATCACTGTCCTAGACAATCAATACTCTAGATCTGTTTTTTTCATTATTGTAATAAAATCTTTATAAGTTGTCCTTTTTAGAATTTCCTCCCCATACTGTCTTAATTTGATTGCTAACATGTGATTTTCAGAAAAATTTGTAATTTTATCTGATGGACAGAGAGACAGAAATAGATCTTCCATCCACTGACTTGATTCCCAAATATCTGGAACAGAGCTGGGCCGGACCAAAGCCAGGAACCTGGAACTCAATTTCGACTTCCTCCTGGGAGTTAGGTACCTGAGTACTGGCCTATCACCCACTGCATCCCAGGGTTTACACCATTAGGAAACTGGAATTGGGAGTAGAGATCAGACCTGCACGCTTGACGTAGGATGTGGGCATGCCAAGCAGCCTGGGGATCACTTTGGCAGATGCCTCCCACATGTATGTTTTAATGACAAATTTCATTTTATTTTCTGTAATCTTCCATGAGTTTTGGCAATATACAAAGCTGGTATAATAATGTTTAGGTGAAAACTGTAATAACTTAATAATTGGACTTTTAATTATGTTTCAGTGATTCCATATCTTCAAATTTCATTTTCAAAATGCCCATATGCATTGTTTTTCTATCTAAATAGAATAACTTCTCTAATCATTGATATCTCATATGATTCAGTATTTTATTTCTTGTGCAATATGTAGAGTTGTGCTTACCATTTATATATCCCATATTTTCAGTAAACAAAAATCCTAAATACTTCAGGGTATATGTCTTCTAATTGGCTATGCATTTTAATCATTGTGCCCTGTTCCAACAGGTTGTACTGCCAAAGCAAAAGTGCCAGGAGGCACATGTATTTCCTTTCTGCCCTCTGCTGTCTAATAACAAATGAAAGTTAGAATGCTAGAACTGGGTAAAAAGCGAAAATTGGTAAAAAGAGAATTTTTACCAATTAAATGACTTCTTTTTCTCACTCTGCATTGATACAGTGAACTCATTTCCCAAAAGAAATTCAAAAGGAAGTAAAAGTCACAACATACATAACAAATGCTGAATAAATCAGGATGTCTGAACTGAAGGTTAGAAGGCTTGTTTTTCAGAATTTTGGATGATATGGTCAGAAAGGAAAACAGTGAGGACTAGATGTAAATCGAAGACGCACCATCCATATTTCAGACAAGTTCTCAGCTGCGTCAAACAAGGATACGCCATTTGCTTGAAATTACAAATCCATCAATTTGTAACTTACTTAAAACCTTTAAAATAGGTGGCAAAAGGAAGGTCAACATGTATGAGGGAAAATATCCAGGAAATTCCAAAACTCACAACGCCACTGTTATTGACAAAATGAGGTTAAGGGAGAGGAAGAGAATGGTGTATGGGCAAAGAGGGAGAATATGCATAAAAAGACAGAGATAATATTTTTTCAGGCAAAAACAAAAAGATTAAAGTTTAAAATAAAATGCCTGACTTACAAAGATATCCAAAGACACTTCAGCTATGGAAAGCCAGATTTCCAAGTAGCCACCTGTCAGGTCTCTAACAGACACAAGAGGAACTGCTTCAGAGAGCTGAGACTGAGCTGGAAGCAAAAACCAAAAGCAGATTTTTTTTCCCCAAAGTGCAATATGAAAAATGACAAAATCGAAGAAGCCAATAAAAGAATGTAAAAAAGTTATCAATACCATTATAGAAGCCTGTCCAACTTAACACAAATTGTCCTTATACATAGAATGAAAAAAGAAAGGGACAACCTCGAAAACTCTAGAGAAAAGAAAAATTGCAGGAGAAAGGATCAAAACAAAACTCTAATCCTTAACAGCTGAAGGCAAGCCTGAATTTTTAAGAGATTTCAGGTTGTGATTTAACGTTTGTACAATAAATACTGTGGAAACATTTCCCAGAATACCTACAACTTCTTGCCTACAACTAATGCCTAAAACTTCTTCACATGGTTCCTTGGAATTCTAGATTCATAAGGAATTATCACTCATCTATTTCCTGTTTCAGCTAGGTAGATAGGCAGTAGCTATGTGAAAGGGAAAGCAAAGCAGCTCTAAATCATGCAATCCTAAGGCACCTGTAGTAATATTTATACCTGAACCAAGAAATCTTGACTTGGTGTGGGGAGAGGGATTGCTGGGAGGACCCCTCTATCCACTAGGGTGTGTTCCTCATGATCTAGCATCCCCAAACCACCATTCTCCAAGATGCCAGAATCGAGCATGGTCTTCAAGTTCAAGCACATCGTTGAGGGCACCGCCACGCAGCCACCCAATGACCAGCAGCAACTGCACATGATAACCAGCTGCTGCATCACAGCAAGACCCTTGGGAAGGGTGGCTTCACCAGTCAGAGGGCAAGCCCCCACGTTCCCGCCACAGGGCAACTGGCCTTCTGGGCAGATGATGCTTTGCAAGCTCTGCGCACGGAGCCCTTCTCCACCCCTGTGGAGATGCCCAATACAGGATGCAGGGAACAGTGCCAGGAACAAGCAGTGCAGGGAGGGCCCTGGCCCATCCCCCAGGTGTATTCCCTGCAGTAAGAGATCTGGGTGTCCAAAAACACACACTTGGTAGCTAAATGGTGAGGGAAAAAATAGCAATCACAAACTAAAGCATTACACTTTATCCCACTGTAACAATGCAATAGCAATTAGTACCTTCCAAATGTCAACCTTACAATTTATTGTTTAAGAACAGTTCAACCCTATATTAAGGACTTATCAATGCAGTAATGCCATAACCTTACGTGCTTGCTTTTGAATTAGAGCCCTTTAGAACACTGAACTTACTAATAGCTCTAGACAGCATAAGAATGACAAAAATGACAATATTTAATTTTCTCCAAACATGTTCAACTAAGACACAGTGATCCTGTTCTTGGAATAGGGCCAATGTATTTGATCCATTATTTAATCAAAGAAGATTTAAGGTAGGAAGTAACCAGAAAATATTTAAAATATATTTTTAAAAAGCATGTTGAGTTCTTTTCATCTTGCTTGGGAAAAAAAATAAATGTAAAAGCGCAAAAGGGATAAGAAAGCCAGATTTACTACTAACCTGATCTCATTAACAGAGGCCTTTGGGGGAATGTTTGCTATCGTTTTCTTTAAAAATCCTGTCCACTTAATTAATTTTCAGGGAATATGCACAATATTAAAAGACAAAACCATTTCACACAAAGCTGAAGGAAAAATGAAGTTACATATGTTTAAGAAGATTTATAAAGGAAAGCAGACAGACATCTGCAAAGTTCAAACCTAAGCTTTCTGACTCAGATTTTCCAAAAAGTAACTAATTAATCCTTAACTAAAAGACAGCAGAGTAACAACAGGTTGTTTGCACCTTAGAAATCTATTGTCAATCAGGTTTGCTTAAGGAGAATAATAGGTATAATTCTCATGTTAATGCCTTTAAATATATTTTCTACTCTATTGGAAGTAAATTAGTTATCAGGAGTATTTGTTTTGAAAAGAAAATGTTTCGTGTAACAAACCATTTGAACGATCTCCTTTCCCAGTATTCCTCATCCCAATCCTAAACCCCTCCAACTAGAGTTCACATACTTTTCTTCTCCATATTAATGAAAACACGCATTGACTATGAGACTCTTACTAGATTTCCATTTGTTTTGCCTCAGTTCCTACATTAATCCAAACAATAAGGGTCTTTAAAACATTCATAAATAACCTGCTGCTACTGGCACCTAGCAGCCAAGTACAGCAATGTTAAGCAACAACAAATTTCATAGTTCAAGAGGCACAGTTAAGCAAAAAGGTTGCTCATGAAAATCACTCTTATTTAGACAATAATCCTTAAAAACTGCATGAAATCATCCAAGTAAGTATAGAAACCAATTTCTTCAGCTCCATATCACATGTCTCACACCTCAATTGTCTTTATTATCATCTGCTGTCAGATCCTCAATCGGAAATATGAGCAGGCTTGGTGATTTATTCGGAAGGGAAAAGAATCTGCAGGTCAAGTGAAAATTTTCACACACAAACCCATATAACACCACATCTTCAACCTTAGGTACTTTCATTTCATTCTGTTCTCTGCAGCTCTGGGGGCAACTCCAGTGAGATCCAATATTAAGGCTCAATTAAAATAAGCTCCAATTAGTGGAGCTTTTTTCTCTGGGGCTAGAAAAGTCAGGAAATGGATATTGGGAAATGTAAAAAGTCAGCTACTGAGAGGAGGCTGCAGACATAAATGAACTTATTTGTTGATTTCTACAGTTGCTATGCAGAGGCCTCTGGGAGTAAAAGCTTAACCAGTCTAAGCTATAAACTAAAACCCCTGCAGCTAAACATGAACTGTGTGAAACAAGGGCTCCATTCCAGAACAGAAAACTGCTGGGCCCAGAAAATTAAAAGCCAGAGGCATTTTCCATTTAAAACTAAATCCCAGTACCGCCTCCCAGCCAAAGAATTATAAGCAGTATCAGATTTACAAAACGAACAATTACCCTGGAAAAATGTAGCCTATTGTATACTCCCAGATGCTAAATCTCAAAAGTTTCTTTTTTTTTAATCCCACATTATATTTCTCCAAGTACACTGCTGCATTTTACAAAGAGCCATTTCTAGACAGGCCTAAGCCTTGAAAATAAATTTCAAAAAGAGAGCTCATAACTCATTGACCTCATTTGAAGTACTGCCCTTGCCTTCAGCAGTTCCTGTCCTTCCCCAAGGCTTCTGCAAATGGTATGCACCAGCAAAATAAACCCTGACCTAATTGCCAGGAGAACCTCTGCCAACCTTCCCTCAAACACAAAGACAAGCATGGTAACTTGAAAGTCCTACCTCTTTGGCTTTCTGCTTTAATCTCAGCTGTTCCGGGTCTTCTTTATTGGAACGACTCTATCAAAGAGAAAAAAACGTAATAGAAATTACTAGCACCTAAACACCATAGTTGCTGTTAAATATTTAATAAATGACAATTTTCTCTTATGGTTGAAAATCTTAGCTCCAGGGGAAATGCCTCAATCCAGGCTAGCTTCAGTCTGGCCCTAACAACCCCCTGTCATCATCTGGGGTAGCTGCTGCAGTTCTAGCCTGGAGGGGCTTACACTGAAAATGATGCTAACAATGTCAGTCAGGGCCAGTTGAGGCATGACGGTGTTCTTGTTAGAACACTAGAAACTAAAAAATGCACGAAAGCAGAGAAAAGAGGAATAACTGTTGTCTCAAATGAACAAAAACAATCAACACTGGCTAATCCTCAGGTGAAGCCATTTTAGAAAAACATTTCAAGCACTACAAAAATCAAGAACCTAACATTAAAGCAAATGTGCTCCTTTAAAAGTATGATTTCTAGAAATAAAAGAAATACATTCCAGTGTGTTCATTAGAGTATCTTAAAGAATTTTACTTCTGAAATCATGAACATCTGTTCTTTGAAAGACATACTTGGGATATATAAATGTATCATTTTTCTTTTCTCAACAAAGTTACCTGACTACTACAAATACTAAAACCAAACCTATTTTCATTTTTGAATTGACTAAGTTTTCCTGATAGTTTAATCAGTTTCCCAGAACCTTTATTAAAGAAAAATATAAGAAACTGCCTATTTAAAATTGAGTGCCATCTAATTTCAAACACTTTGAATAACTACGCAAAGCTAGTAACTTTTTCCATTGCAGTTCACAATATACTAAAACAATTCTATCTCAGTCCAAAGTCAAATTCACTTGTTATTTTTTGTATAATCAGGGAATGAGTTTGTGGAAATACAAAGGTATCTGTATACATATGTGGATGTGTGCATTTGTTTCTGTGTATGTAACAGTTTGCTCCAGGATAGGGTACCGAGTCTTTATCAGTGATCCAATATTTACTGGTCACTTACAAGACAGGTTCCAATCTTTATGTCCCAATGGTTTATATTATGGAGATACACAGATGAAATAATTAGATAAATTCTATGCTCTCAAGTAATTTACAATTTTATAAAAATTAAATACATTTATGATGTGAAACAGTTACATAGTAAGACAAAACAAGTAACTGTTGATGTTGATAAGCGCTATGAAGAAAACAAATGGAAAAATGTGATAAACAGGAAGAGAAAGTAGTACAGTAGGTATTCCCTGGCCACGATGGAGGCAAGGTATGTCTGAGGTGGGACATTTGAGTAGAGACCTGTATATGAAGAAGCAGGGAGCCATGCCAAGATCTGGCAGAAGGCACGGTAAATGCTAAATAAAAACAAGCTTAGGTACACTGACAGTGGGGAAAATCTGGCCTTTTTGGTCTGGCCCTGTCATGGCAACCACAGGCAGACATTAAATTAAATAAATCAGGCTAATAATTTATGTTAACAATGTTGTATGGCCCATGAGTGATATCATAAATATCCAAATGGTTGTCCAGTACTATGTCATACTGGGTAAAGCCACCACCTGGAGCACGAGCATCCCATACAGGCACTACTTCAAGCTTCAGCTGCTTCACTTGTGATCCAGCTCCTTGCTCTAATGGCTCTAATGGGAAAGCAGTGGAAGATGGCCAAAGCCTTTGAGCCCCAAACCCACAAAGGAGATGTGGAAGAAGCTTCTGACTCCTGGCCCAGGCCTGCCCATTACAGTCATTTGGGGAGTGAAACAGCAGATCAAAGAACTCTCTGTCTCTCCCTCTCTCTGTAACTCTTTCAGGTATATATAAAAATCCAAATGGCCTTTGGCAGAAAAAAGGTTCCCAACTCTTGCTAAGACAACATGCCCAGGCTAACTGAAATACAGAGAAAGCCAAAGGAGAGAAAGGCAAAGGATTGTGTAGAGATGATGAATAAGCACCCAATTATAAGAACAAGGCACTGGAGGGCTTGGATCACAGGACTGCAATGCTCTTGTTAAAACACTTTGGGAATGTAGCTGTGGCAGGTATGCACTGGGTGCACTGCAGGACACCACACGATGAAGACTTACACAAACACCAATTTGAAGCCATTTTATTTTTTAATTGGAAAGGTGGATATACAGAGAGGAGAGACAGAGAGGAAGATCTTCCCTCCGATGATTCACTCCCCAAGTGAGCGCAACGGCCGATGCTATGCCGGTCCGAAGCCAGGAGCCTCTTCCGGGTCTCCCACGCGGGTGCAGGGTCCCAAAGCTTTGGGCTGTCCTCAACTGCTTTCCCAGGCCACAGTCAGGGAGCTGGATGGGAAGCGGGGCTGCCGGGATTAGAACCGGCATCAGTATGGGATCCCGGGGCGTGCAAGGCGAGGACTTAAGCACTGCGCCACCGCTCCAGGCCCAATCTTTTTTTCTTTTAAGACTATGTGATTCAAAAGTACAACAGGAAGGCAGAGAACATTCTAAGCAACAGAAACACATAGGACTTACCATGAAAATAAACATTCTGGCAATAGTACAAAAAGTGTATTGTTGAAGGAAAAGAAAATCAGGTAAACATATTATGAAAGTTCAAGTGAAAGATGACTTTGACTTCAATGGTGACAACAGTGATGAAGAGAAGAGGCTCTAACTTTGGGGACCAGAAAAGGAAGTAAGCTAGATGTAGCAGGAGATGAGATACAGGAATTAGAGATGACTTCTAGGCTTCTGAGTTGAATGTCTCAACAAATCGTGGTTTCATTTATTAAGTTAGGAAACCCTCTGAGGGGGATAGGATTGTCAGCAGTCCTTTCATATAAGCTAAATTTAAGATGCCTATTAGCCAATAAATAGAAGTCAAGAGTCTTAAAACGTACAATGAATTTGAAATATAATTTCAGAGGAACATGGGCAGAGAAGACCTAGGATTGGAGCCTGGGGCGCTCTAGTATTGAAAACCCTGGCACAACAGGAAAAGTCAAAAAATACTTAAGTAAAATATCTTATATCCTGTAATAACTAAACTCATATTAATAGTTTATGACCTTGTTTACACCACTGTAATTACAAATAAATTACCAATAAACTACATCATTACCATAGCTTACTGCTTGCTTATAATACTTGTAGTAAAGGGCATCTTCTTGCCTTTTCCAGTATAGAGGACAGATATGAGGACTGAGCCTACAGAATAGTGACAAGTGAAAGATGAAAGGGGGGGATTTAGCCATGTCCTTTTGGGGTGGGAGCTGGGGCACATGAAGTGCAGACTAGTAACCAAGGTTCCAAGGCAATGAGTAATGGGGGCCTCATCAGAGCATGGGCCAGTAGGCAGGATGGCCAATTATCTGGGTTAGTAAATGATGGAGTAAACAATAGCAGCACACAAGTCAGCCAATGTGGCTGGCTAAAACTACTTACAAAGATCAAATAAGGAAACTGATAAAGGCAAAAGATAAATAAATCAAGGATAATGGTAGTCAACCTTCTTACTACTGGAGAAGTTTTCATAAAAGTGGAAGGGTTAAAAGGATAAAGAACCCCAAGGTGCAGGATTAAAGCTAGAGACAGTCATGTGAACTCATGATTCTATAATATATACAAACAGATATAGAAATAGTTAGAAAGGCTGATGCTGCAGCACATTGGGTAGGGCTGCTGTCTGCAGTGCTGGCATCCCATATGGGTGCTGGTTAAAGTCCTGGCTGTTCCACTTCTGATACAGCTCCCTACTAAAACACCAAGGAAAGCAGTGGAAGACAGCTGAAGTCCTTGAGCCCCAGCAAGTATGTGGGAGACCTGGATAAAGCTCATGCTTCCCGACCAGTTCATCTCTGGCAGTTGCCACCATTTGGGGAATGAACCAGTGAATGGAAGATCTGTGCCTCTCCCTCTCTCAAATTGTACCCTTCAAATAAACAAACAAAAAAAATATTTTTGGGTCTGGCACAATGACTCAAATGGCTAAATCTATTGGGAGTGCCTACACATAATGAATGACACCCTATTAACATGAGTACACTACCATGCTCTACTCTACTCTGTTCTAAGTATCATCCTTAACTAACAAGAAGAAGGTTTTCTGGAGAAATGATTGATTCTAGGACTGGAACAGAAAAAAAAAAAGTAAAAGCTGGGCCTACAATGCCTTACACTAACAAATAAGGATAGTTAGTGGTGGAGGAATCACTAAAAGAATATTGGCTGGAAAATTACTTACAAAGGGTTCAAAAAGGCTGACTAACAGTGATAATTACAGAACTGTGTTAAAATGTTTAAATGTTACAAATTAAGGAAGGGAGCCTAGAAAGATACACATACAGACACTTATCAAACTGAGTGTGTATAAAGGCTAGGGGAAATAGTAGAGATGGAACAAACTCAGTAAAACAGCAAAAAAGATGGTGTCGGAGTAGGGGAAAGATGCTGGGGATGTCTCCATCTTGTGATGGAGTGCCTGGTCCAAGTGTCAACTATTCCTATCTGCTTCCAATCCAACTTTCTCCTGGTGTGCACTATGAGGGACAGCAAGTGATGTTCAAGCACTTGAGTTCCTATCAAGGAACCCGCAGATGGAGTTCAGGTCCTGTCCAGCCCTGACTGTTTAGGGAATGTGGGAAATGAATCAGTGAATGGAAGATTTTCTGTCTCTTTTCCTGTCAGATAAAATGTAAAAAACATTTTTACAGACTTTAAAAGAATCTGAGGAAAAGTGAAAAACGGGTAAGTATTCTTTGTACTATTCTTGTAGCTTTTTTGAAAATGTGAATTATTTGAAATAAAATAATTTTCAAAATAAAACTCGCATATAATTAGGAATAAATATCCCAAAACGGGAGTATTCTAAGATATTAGAAATTAAAATTTTAAAAAATAAACTCTTTCTGGAAAGACATGTGCAGCTACAAAATGCAAAGATATACTGCGATCAGCCTTTATCTTCTCTGGCTCTAACAGTTCTGGTCAGTTAGTTAAGGCAACAAAGAAGGAGGGTCCGGCACAATGGCTCAATTAACTAAGTCCTCTGCCTGCAAGCACCAACATATGGGGACCCATTTGTGTCCTGGCTGCTCCACTTTCCACCCAGCTCCATGGTTATGGTCTGAGAAAGCAGCAGGGAATGGTCCAAAGCCTTAGGGACCCTGCACCCGCCTCGAGACCCAGGAAAAGCTCCTAGCTTCAGATCAGCTCAGTTCTAGCCACTGCAGCCACTTGGAGAGTGAGCCAGCAGATGAAATATCTTTCTTTCTATCTCTTCTTCTCCCTGTATATCTTCTTTCCAATAAAAAAATAAATAAATCTTCTTAAAAAACAAGAGAGAAAGGAATAAACAGCCTCAACCTGTTTTTTTACTCTCTTACCCATTTTTGCCCATCCTATACATTGTTCCATATAATCCAAATCCCTGTTGCAATTTTTCTGATGTGCCCTCCCCCCACCATTCCCTGAGATGTATCAAATCACATCCCTAAAAAGACTGAAAATTGTATAAATCTTTTACCTGGAGGGTGGGAGTGGTGAATAGTTACGCTGTGAGACACACAGGAAATTAAGGTGAGGAGACAAAGATTGTGACTCATTATACTAAATTAACTGAAAGCCACTGCACCATATCGTCCTACTATGAGACATTCTATTAGTAACTTCATTTTAAGAAAATCTCCAGAGAAACTGGAAGACTTAATAAAATGAAGACAGACAACCAATGACACAGCCAGTTCTGACCTCATTCCCAGGCCTTCTACAGCCCTAAGCCACACAGGCCCTTACCTTGGCTGCCTTAAGTAACATTTCTCTTTCTTCTAAATCCTTTCTCTGTTTCTCCAGTTGATCCAGCTTTTCAAGAAATTTAAGCTGTGACCTGGTATCACTAGAAAGGACATAATTTTCACTTGCCTGAAAAAAAACAAAGAAAGTCTTCTGATGATTGTGAGCTACCCATTTTGCATGATATATTATAATACCTAAACACAATAGTACAAACATACACAAGAACCTATCAATAAATAACATTTCTTCTATTATATAAATTTAATGAAAAGGGAAAGAGGAGGATTTTAGGCATTCTCAAAAATCTGAGAGCTGATTAAGCACGTATGCTGCAAGCAGCTTTCCTAGTAGAGCTTATTTAGAGGGAGGAAAAGGAATTAAGTCAAGGAAGTTCAAACAATAGCAACAAGACTCATAAGGGTATATTACCCGCATATAATTAAAATTTTTAGCTAAATTATTACTCATATAAAAATTTTTCATAGAAGATAAGTATTTGTAATCTGAAGTCTGAAATAAAATATTTTTAAAGATTTATTTATTTTTATTGGAAAGGCAGATATACAAAGAGGAGGAGAGAGAGAGAGAGAGGAAGATCTTCCATCCCCAAGTGACCGCAATGGCCGGAGCTGTGCCAATCCGAAGCCAGGAGCCAGGAGTTCCTCGGAGTCTGCCATGCAGGTGCAGGGTCCCAAAGCTTTCAGCCATCCTCGACTGCTTTCCCGGGCCACAAGCAGGGAGCTGGCTGGGAAGCAGGGCAGCCGGGATTAGAACTGGCAACCATATGGGATCCCAACACATGCAAGGAGAGGACTTTAACCACTACGCTAATTGCGCCGGGCCCAAAGTCTGAAAAATTCTAAGTAGAGGTACAACAATCAGAAGCTTTCAGATTTTTCTGGATTTCAGGTTTTCAAATTAAAAGTGCTCTTAGGGCCTGGCGGCGTGGCCTAGCAGCGAAAGTCCTCACCTCACTTGGGGAGGACTTGGAGAGCTAAAGCGCTCACTTGGGGAGTGAATCAACGTACGGAAGATCTTCCTCTCTCTCTCTCTCCTCCTCTCTGTATATCTGACTTTCTAATAAATAAATAAATCTTTAAAAAAAAAAGTGCTCTTACTTTGAAATCTATAAAGAATTAGGATGTTCAACCACTAAAGTTTATGCAGCTATTCGAAAATCTGAAGCACATTAAATGTTCCAAGCAATTGCAACATAGGACACTTAATCTGTATTAGTAGTTCAACATTAGCACTGTGAAATACAAAAGCAAGAAATAACCATCTCAACAAAAAATATATTAAACACAAAAGTCACCACTCTGGCTACTATGATCTGACCTTGAGAAATGAATATAATCATCGAACTATAATTTAAAGGAAGAAGGCAAACATTAAAATCCTCAGATCCTTTTCTGAGTATTTCCTTTAAGAATTTATACAAGAACTATAGATCTGTGAGCCATAAAAGACTCATTCCATTAAAGCATAAAATCCAAATTATCTATTTATGTGGATACTCTAGCATGTGAAACAGGATTTTCCAATCTGAACACTTTCCAATTTGTAACTGACTGCCTCTCTTCTTTGACACATACACCAGCATGGAAGCATGTGCTGTGGTGAGGGTGAGCAAGGGGATCCATCCTTCAACGTTCAGGACATCCTGTCATTTCCTCAACTCAGGGATTTAGACATCTAGACATCGGAGGTCGTCTGTAGAGCAGACAAACCAAGCATTTTCAAATATCTAGTTTAACAGTCAGTGCCTGAACTGGAAATCATCTTTCTTTTATCCCCACGATTATATAGCCCCATGGTTGATTCAATTAACTGGACTCAGAGATTTCGTGTGACCAGAATTCTTTCTAAATTAAATTTTTATTGTTGGTATTTAACTAGATCAAGAGAGTATTACATAGTTTATGGAACAAGGATGTATTAGTGTTACTTATTTTACTTCATATTTAATACAAAAAGAATTCCCAAATGTTTTTAAAGTTAAATTAGTACAAGATAGAATATGGAATATATCACAGGCCAACTATAGTTCTTACACGTAACTGATTTCTTAAAAGCCTCATCCATACCGTTACTCTGTTCACTCTTAAGACTGTTTACTCTCAGGATTTAACTTAAAAGGGATAATAAACTCTAAATTAAAAAAAAAAAAGAAGAACACAGACTTTCTAAATTTTAACGGTGCTGAGAGCCCTCTCTACTCACCAACTTGGTGGTAAATGCCTCTGGCATGGTATTTCTTTCAGATATTAGTAAATAAATGAGTGCTTCCCTATCTGCCCATTCCTGTGGAATCCCTAATGTTACCTGAATAACACTTATCTCAAATCCTGCCACATTCTTTGACTGCAGCAGGCCTAAATGAAATCTTCAATACCCAACATAAAATGGCAGTTTAGCCGTGAAAATATAATGACCCAAACCAAATGATAACACTACCAAGTCAACCTTGATTTAAGCAACACCACAACATTTTTCAACAGCAGACCATATAATGTATCATCAGTGGGAAAACATCTGGCAGCAAGACAAAAAGCTTTGACTATATAGTACTTTCTACTCCTTTACTTAAATCTCAGCTTATGACCTATGGTTAACTAGAAAATTACATCTAACCAAGTAAAAGATTATCAAAAGTAAATGGATTCCCACAGTAGAAGAGATGGCAAAATTTTGATTTTAACAATTGAATCTTCCTTTTGTAACATTCATGGAAATTTTCTATACTGTGCATTTTCCATGAACTCTCTGAGGAACCCTTATGTCAAAAGGTATTGTTTTCACCAAAATAAACTCACTTTTCACCAAAATAAACTCACTCAACAAAGCTTCTGATGTACCTTATTCTGCTTATCTACAACTGAAGAATTCATCTGAGAATGATATGCAATAGAGCCCTAACTGGCCCTTAGTAGACATTATTTTTAAAATTTCTATTCCATAATTTATTACACATATTTCACTTTGTATACAAACTGTCTACTACAAGTGAGAATCACAGAAACATCTATTGAAAGGTGTAACAAACTGAGTGGGGAAAATCCAGCTTTGAAAAAGTAAGCAGTAAATAAAGGTCTTGGTTTAAAAGCCAAGAAAAAGCCTGTAATTTTTCGCTAACACAAAAAATTTCTGAATAGCTAACAAAACTGCCTTACATTTAGGATGTTAATTAAAATCCCATAGTAACCATTAAGCAAATATCTAGAAAACATACACAAAAGAAAATAAGAGTATCAATTGGCACAATACAAACAAAACACACAATTAAACACCAAAAAAACCTGCAGGGCACACAAAAAACAAATAGCAAAAAAGCTACTTTAAATGTAAATGGATTATTTTAAATGTAAATGGATTAAACTCCCCAACCAAAAGATAGAGACTGACAGAATGGACAAAATGAAATAAACTGTGATATAGCAACATGCTACTTGTTGTGCAAGACTCGCTATAAATGAGAAGTGAAAAAGCATAAAAAGATATTTCATGCAAATAATCACCAAAGTAAGGTATAACATGATTTTCTAATACTATTCTCAGAAAAAGATAGAATTAAAACTATTAGAAAAAAACAAACTATGGACCTGATTTTGACAAGAGCCAACTAATTAAGATATATATAATATATATACAATTACAAAGGAAATAAAAAAGCATTCTTATGCAAATGAAAACATAACATGCTTTAATTATTAAATACAATGAAAGCAGCACTCAGAAGGAAATTTACAGCAGTAAATACATAAAAAAGAAAGATCAAGTTAACAGCTTATTTAATACATTTTATGAAACTTAAAAAAGAGTAAACTAAAACCAAAGATAATTTGAGGACATAAATAAAATAGAAGATAAATGAAAGAACAGTGAAACAAATTAATGAAACCAAGTGTTTATTCTTTGAGGATGCCAAAATTGCTAAGACACCAGGTGGACTGATCAAAAAAAGGTCAAAGCTTCAAACAACTCAGTATCAGAAATGAAACTGGGAGCTTGGTACATTGGCACAGCAGCAAACCATCAGCCCTGTGGCATTGGCACGCCACAGGGGCACCGGATCATGTACTGGCTACATCACTTCCAAGCCAGCTTTCTGCTATGGCCTGGGAAAAGAGTGGAGGGTAGCCTGAATCCTTGGGTGCCTGTACCCACATTGGAGACCTGGGAAAGGAGGTCTCCTAGCTTCATACTGGCTTAGCACCAGCTGTTGCAGGTCATTTGGGAGTAAACCAGTGGATAACAGAAGTCTCACTCTGTCTCTCCTGTCTCTGTAACCCTGCCTTTCAAATAAAAATTTTTTTAAAAATCTTCCAAAAATAAAAAAAAGTGGAACCATTGCTACTGATCTTAAAAAAATAAAAAGGGTTAATAGTGAATACTATGAACAAGTAGATATAAACCAGAAATTAGATAACCTGAAAAACAAATACCTAGAAATACACAAAAAGAAATACTGGTAGTAATCTTGTTTTTTCTCTACTGTTCATACCTTTTTAAAGTCCAAATTCTCACAAACTTTTACACTAGTGAAGATCTCAGCAATAATATATAGTTCCTTTACAATTCTAAATGAAGCAACATGAAAATAGAACGGGTGGCTGATAATTTCCTGATTCCTTTTAACTTATGACTATGATCATTCCTGCAAAATTAAACCTCATAAGATTAGCTATATATCATCTTGTTCAAAATCTAGCAAATAACAATTCTTGATTTTTAAAAAAAAGATGAACATTATCTTGTTCGTTTATCCCAGGGTATATTTGCCCTCTCTGAAAATTACAGTTTAAATATATCAAATGCTTTCATTTGATCATGGCAAACCACTGGATTCACAACACTAGTCATAGTCAGTCACTTCATGAGTTCAACTGCTTAGAAAAGCAGTCCATGACATAGTGAGTGCCATGAGCAACAGCACTGGGGACACTAAAGCAACAGCAGCAGTGCAGGACCTAGGCCACTGAAGAGTACACAAGTAGCCAATATTCCAACCAAACATATCCTACTTCACAATCAAAAGCTTAAGGAGGAGAAGCTCAAGCAGAACAGATGCAGATTAAACCTACACTGACATGAAAGCTTTGAGAATCATTTAAGCTCTATTTTCATATTAATATATGTCTAGTAAGCACATCTAAATAAGTAGAATTAAGAGCATGACAGTATATTTCTACTAGTGTGAAATATAAGTCTAAGCCATTCCTTTAAAATAGATTTCATACTTCGTATTCTTGACCAAAAAATGACTCTGAATCGTACAAAACAAAGCGTTTATCCTTCTTTAATAGTTTCCTTTACCTTGTAAGTAGTCATCCGATGCTGAGCAATTGTGGTCAATTTTTCTAGAAGGCCTCGTAATCTCTCCTGCGTTGCATGGGAGATCAAGTTCACAGCATCAGAGTTAAGTTCTGTAATGTCATGCTTTTTACCTGTAGAAGCAGAGAAAATCCATTACATGTTTTAGTAGTGACTGATAATTGAAATAATTAGCACAGCAGGTATTCTGTTCCCCCTGGAAGTCATACCCATTATGAATAAAGGTTTGGAGATTATGATTTTCCTGGTAAAGTCACAACTTCAAAGATCTTAGACATTACATTAATAAAACCTAGCCTGAAGCCTCAGAAAATATAGACATTGTTTCACTTAGCCTCTAGAATCACTCTCCTTGCAAGGTCATTTATAGGACAAAGTTAATAAGAACACAAATCAAGTCTAGTGTTCAGGGAGAAAATGGTAACTATAGAAATTAGTGCCATATTCTGTTAATTTTCATAATGAAAAAAACAGGAAATTACACTTTGCCATGATACTGGTAACAATTTATGACATTTACTTCAACAAATTCAGATTGTGAGTCTCTGCTACTGCCTCATGTGTAATATATACCTACACATTTCAGATTCATCACCATACATGCTTATGTGAACTGCCCATGTTCTGACAAACCAACCTAGTAATCAATTTGAAAGTTAAACTCTTGCTATTTCCCTACACGTTTGAAAAAATTTGTCCTTTCTATAACTCTCAACTTTCTAGAAGGGTTTCAGAAAAACAATTTGAACCACATACCCAAAGGCACAGACTCACTCATAAATCAGCCTTTTCAGTATCAAAGCAGTATCCTTTGGGCACAGTGCATCTACCTATATTGATAAAGATCAAAAACTAAAGAAATAGGAATTACTTAACCCCATTTAAATGGGCTTTTACAAGAAACACTGCAATTATTTTCAACACATATATGCATACACAGAAAATTCTAAAATATTATTTGAGTTTGCATAGTAAGTTATGTAAAACATGCTCATCAAAAGGCAACTAACTATATCAAAAATACATTTTAATTAAGACACACAGGGCCAGTGTGGTGTACTAAAATACAACTTAAAGTTCCAAAGCAAATTTGTAGAGCAAGATGGTGCCATGGTGCTGTAGGCTAAGCCTCTGACTGCGGTACCATTGTATCACAAGCTTAGCATTGATTCTTGCCCCAGCTACTCCATTTTCCCCCTTACAGCTTGGGAAGTCAGTGGAGAATGGCTCAATTCCTTGAGTCCAACATCCACATAAAAGAGCAGAAAAATCTCCTGTCTCCTGACTTAAAATCAGCTCAACTCTGACTATTGTGACCACTTTGGAAGCAAATCAGCAAATGGAAGATCTCTATCTCAGCAAATGGAATATATTTCTCTCTCTCTCTTTTCCCTGCCCCCACCCTCACTCCTCTCTGTAAAATCCACCATTTAATAAAAATAAATCTTTAAAAAAATTTCTCTGTAACTCTATTTTTCAAATAAAATTTTTTAAAAAAATCTTCCCCCCCCCAAAAAAAGGTGACTGACCTGACCAGTTAAAAAAAAAGCTTATAGAGGGCCTGGCACAGTGGCTCAATTTGCTAATCCTCCCCCTGCAAGTGCCAGGAACTCTCATGGTACCAATGTGAGTTACAGTTTCTCTGCTTTCCATCCATCTCCCTGCTTATGGCCTGGGCAATCGGTAAATGGTGGCCCAGCGCCTTGGGACCCTGCCCCTGCCTGGGTAACCCAGAGGAAGCTCCTGGTTGGTTCCTAGCTTCAAATTGACTCAGCCTAGGCCGTTGCAGCCATTTGGGGAATGAATCACAGGATGGAAAATATTTCTGTCTCCCCTCTCTGTAGATTTGTCTTTCCAATGAAAATAAACACATCTAAAAAAAAGTTTATAGAATAGTTCCCACTTCATAGTTAAAAAGACTTAGTTGATATTTCCATGTTTGTTATGTAATTTTTTTTAATCTCATACCATTATTTAAGTAGAAAAAATCCTTTCTTTCTAAGAAAATTCCTTGAGTAAATTTATAGTTTCATTAAAGAAAAAAAAAAAAAGACTTATTTACATAGTTATTTGGAAGTCACAGTTAGAAGGAGGGAGAGAGGAAGAGAGGAGACGAGAGAGTGAGATCTGGGCCCAGCGCGGTGGCGCAGTGGTTAAGGTCCTTGCCTTGCACGCTCGGGATCCCATATGGGCGCCGGTTCTAATCCCGGCAGCTCCACTTCCCATCCAGCTCCCTGCCTGTGGCCTGGGGAAGCAGTCAAGGATGGCCCAAACCCTTGGGACCCTACACCCGTGTGGGAGACCCGGAAGAGGCTTCAGGCTCCTGCCTTCAAAACGACTCAATTCTGGCTATTATGGCCACTTCGGGAGTGAATCATCAGATGAAAGATCTCCCTCCCTGTCTCTCCTCCTATCTGTGTATCTGCCTTTTCAATAAAAATAAATAAATCTTTAAAAAATAAACTCAACCAAGACAGAACAAAACAGAAAAATTACTATGCCATAAGTAAATATTAATACAAAAATATACACATCTATTCTTCCATAGAGATGGAGATTAACATCTGTGATCCAAATCAGAAACCATAGATCACACACGCTATTATGTCTGACTAATTTTTAAAAGAAAATCATAAAATAAAATAAAATAAAATAAAAATAACAACAATGAAATCAGTATTTTTTAAAGTCTTTAAGCTTTAGATTTCCAGTTATCAGAGTAGCGTTTTTCCTGATTTTCATTTCAGGTCAGTATCTTAACTCTGTACTTACCAATATCTAAAATTCTTTTTTGAAGAGCTCCAATGAAAAGAAATGGTTCATCTTTACATGACTGAATGAGTGTGCCAACCAGTTCAGAGTTTGTTGCTAATATGCAGGCATTTTCTTCCTGGAGGTTGACCCCCGCCATGGACGTCACATCATTGATGTCATCCTCATCTCTAAAAGAAAAAAAAGGGAGCTTCTTCTTTTTTAGCATGAATGAGAATGGCTACAGTGAGGAAATTATAGATATCTTCTTACAATCAATGCATCTAATTAAAGCGAGAAGTAAAGAAAGGCGACCTTCCCCATGAGTCTTTAAACTTAACTACTGTTTCTAGCCACTGGTGCACATCTAATACCAAAAAGACAGTTGAGAAACAGCCACTGTGTTCTGAGACCAATCTCGTCAATAAACCAAAATGGGGGGGCCCAGCACAGTGGCGCAGTGCTTAAGGTCCTTGCCTTGCGTCCCCCAGGATCCCATATGGGCACCGGTTCTAATCCCAGTGACCGTGCTTCCCTGCTTGTGGCCAGGGTAAGCAGTTGAGGATGGTCCAAGACCTTGGGACCCTGCACCCACGTGGGAGACCCGGAGGAGGTTCTGGGCTCCTGGATTTGGATGGGCTCAGCTCCGGCCATTGTGGCCATTTGGGGAGTGAATCATCGGAAGGGAGATCTTCCTCTCTGTTTCTCCTCCTCTATGTATATCTGCCTTTCCAATAAAAATCAATAAATCTTAAAAAAAAAAAAAAAAAAAACCACACACACACGGGCCCGGCAGCAAGGCCTAGCGGCTAAAGTCCTCGCCTTGCACACCCAGGATCCCATATGGGCACCGGTTCTAATCCTGGCAGCTCCACTTCCCTTCCAGCTCCCTGCCTGTGGCCTGGGAAAGCAGTCGAGGATGGCCCAAAGCTTTGGGACCCTGCACCCATGTGGGAGACCTGGAAGAAGTTCCTGGATCCTGGCTTCAGATCGCATAACATCGGCCGTTGTGCTCACTTGGGGAGTGAATCATCGGACGGAAGATCTTTCTCTCTGTATATCTGACTTTCCAATAAATAAATAAATCTTTAAAAACACACATACACACACACACACACACACAAAAAGGATCTGAAGTTACACTAAGTCACCTACAAATCCTTTTGCAATGAAAAACAAAACATTCAAACAGACAGAAATCTTTGTTTTCTTCCAAAATGACTGCAGTCCCTCAGATGTCCCCATTTGCTCTATTTTTCCGAGGGCAGCATAAATCCCCTGACAGGTCCACGGCCACATAACGACCCTTGAGAAGCAGCCTACTCAACCAGCTCTTCCGAAATGTCTTTATAAAACTAGTTTTGTTTCTGTTTCAGACCTTCAGCATGTTCCATTTGGTCTAACTGAACTCATTAAAACTTTATCCTCAAAATAATGACTGACTTACAATCTCAGCATGGGACACTGAACAAGCCCCATATGAACTGCACCTGGCATCTCTGGCAGGGTGGCCAACTTGGGTCACATCTGACACAGCCTTGAGAGACTAAGGCCGGTGCACCACAACAATACTGAACCATAACATTTAAGGAATACTGGTTTTAGAGTTAAAAAGAATCAGTTTTAGTCCCTGTTTTGATAGTCATTGATAGAATAGCTGTGGACAAGTTTTATTTACCTTTTTATTCCTCTTAACTTTAAAACAGAGATGAAATACTATCAGGAAATTTTGAGAACGAACTAGTAGAAACTGAGAGTGAACATTATGAATTGACTGAAAAATAACACTCCTGTTACACAATAACGTAAGTAATATTTTATGAAAATAAGCTCAATAAAAATAAATTGTAAAAACAAAAGGTCTTACACTTTTGCTAATCTCTTCAAATCCAGGATCTGGAACAGTGATAGGCAGTGGCTAAAGTCTTCGCCTTGCACACTTTGAAATCCCATATGGATGCCAGTTCTAACCCTGGCTGCTCCATTTCCCATCCAGCTTCCCGCCTGTGGCCTAAGAAAGCAGTAGAGGACAGCCCAGAGCCTTGGGACCCTGCACCTACATAGGAGACCCAGGAGAGGCTCCTGGCTCCTGGGTTCAGATCGGCTCAGCTCCAGCTATTGCAACTACTTGGGGAGTGAATCATCAGATGGAAGATTTTCCTCTCTGTTTCTCCTTCTCTCTATATATCTGACTTTCCAATAAAAATTTAAATATCTTAAAAATTTCCACTGGAGTTCTTGCACCTTGAATAGATCTTTTACCTATGTGTAGTTTTTTGACATCATGCCTTTGTAGTGTGGAAAACTGAGTTACACAGTGAATTCAGTTCGTTAAGTCCTAAATTCAGACTCAGTACACAAAATCCAAAATCTGCTTAGTCGCATCTCTATCATATCAGAAAATCTAAAAATTGCCAAGTGATCAAATGCACATAGTGAGTGAAGTTTTACAAAATTTTATTTCTTTCTTGAACGCTCTAAACTATTAGCATAGTGCTATAGATTTTTCCAAGATGTCTGTAAAATTCCCAAGCTTAAATAACCATAATTTGTTTTTCATTTGTTCTTTTTTCTTTAAAAAAAAAAAAAAGATTTATTTTATTTTTATTGGAAGACCGATATACAGAGAGGAGAGACAGAGAGGAAGATCTTCCATCCGATGATTCACTCCCCAAGTGACTGCAACGGCCAATGCTATGCCGATCCGAAGCCAGGATCCAGGAACTTCTTCCGGGTCTCCCACATGGGTGCAGGTTCCCAAAGCTTTGGGCCATCCTCAACTGCTTTCCCAGGCCACAGGCAGGAAGCTGGAAGGGAAGTGGGGCTGCCAGGATTAGAACCGGCGCCCATACGGGATCCTGGGTGTGCAAGGCAAGGACCTTAAGCACTGCGCCATCACGCTGGGCCCTCATTTGTTCTTTTAAGTAAAAATGATAATCTACAAAATCATAGGTAAGTTCAGCTTATAAATCAAATGCAAGCAAAAAAAAAAATACCATATATCATGGGATAATCACTGTACTCTGGCTTGCAGGTTTGCAACAAAAAGAGCTTTATACAAATTTCCCATTCTGTCACACGGGACATTTAAAAGATGTATATTCAAGGGTTCGGATCTAATAATTTATGCTGCTTATTAAATACATTTTTTTTAAAAGTTACCTTTTTAACCTTTCTTTTTTTATTTACTAAAAGGATGTGATGGGGTCTGATGCAGTATCCTAGTGGCTAAAATCCTTGACTTGCAAGAGTTGGGGTCCCATATGGCTGCCAGTTCATGTCTCAAATACTCGGCTCCCATCCATCTGCCTGCTTGTGGCCTGGGAAAGCAGTCGAGGATGGCCCAAAGCCTTGGAACCCTGCACCTGTCTTTGGACCTTGGGAGACCTGGAAGAGGCTCCTGAATCCTGACTTCAGATTGGCTCAGCTCCAGCTGTTCAGACCAGCTGAAGAGTGAATCTGCAGACAGAAGATCTGTCTCATTCTATCTCCTTCTCTTTGTGTATCTGCCTTTCCAACAAAAATAGACAACTCTTAAAAAAAGATGTGAGGGTGAGGGTAAAAACCAAACAGCCACAGGACAGTGTGGTGCCACTCTGTCTTCATTAAGCTGTCGCGGTGTCAGCACTCTGCCTTTTAAGCCATGAATACAGAAAACAGAAAAAAAGGAAATAACATTATGGTAATGATGATGAAAAGCGTCTGAATCTCAAAAATCCTGAGTGAGTTCTCCATTTCAAAATTCTTCTGTAGGCCGTTGGGGAGCTGCTGCAAAGCCCCTAAAATCATAGTAAACATCAGAAATTCTATCAGTGTTTTTAGGCTATAAATTCCTGGGGCCTGGCACTACGGCGCAATAAGCTGGGACGGTCAGAGGACTGTGCTGCCAGCATCCCCTAGGGACGTTGGTTTATGTCCTGTCTGCTCCACTTCCGACCCAGCTTCCTGTCAATGTGCCTGAGGATGTTTCACACAGGAGAAAGCAACACAAGATGGGAAAAACTGAAGCTGGTTCGAATCCTTGGGCCCTGTACCAACACGGGAGACCTGAGCCAGCTCCAGGTGCCTGGCTTCAGACCAGCCCAGCTCCAGCGAATGCAGCCTTTGGGATATGAGACAGTAAATGGAAATGTCTCTTTCTTTCCTTCTCTCTCTAACCCTGCCTTTATAAATAAATAAATCTAAAAAAAAATTTTTTTTAGAAAAAATAAATTATTTTCATATCCAATCTCCCAAGATTTCATTTTGTATTGTACCAGAATCCAAAATTTTAAGTTCCTGGCTAACTCTCAAATTATTGACCTTTACTAAAATAGAAAATACTTACTTATAAAGCATTTCAAAAGCACATGGCAGCTGTTTCTTATATTAATAAGTCTCTAATACATCATTATACTAATCCTATTCAGATTCTTTTCAGCATAAATCACAACACAGCCACTGTTGCTCTCTCTTGGATTTAAACCTTCTTGAAGAAGATGCCCAAAATCCATAGATAAGATACATTCTGTCTCCTGACCACAGGACATCAACTTTTAAAGTCTTTTCATTTCGATTTATCCTGCATAAAAGGAGTAAGGGGATAATTTTCCATAAACAAAGCATAGCTGAAAACTTTGAAACTTCATAATCTCATCTCTGAATCTTCACTCATGTAATCCCCTGTGTGTAATGTTCAAAAATCTAATTTCCTCAGATCAAGAGCTAGTATGAGACCTTTCCACTTAATTTTAATTCTGCATTCTTTGGCAGATGCTTTTTCCCTGACTCCCTTCTTTCCATGATAGAGATTCGTCACCAGAGACTGCTTCCCCTTTTAAAAAAAATCACTAACCACTTGAGCAAGATCCTCGGAGCATGCCCTACATCCGGGACCTGGGGAGGGTGGGAAGCTGGGTGGGCCTTCTCCCTTAATACCCCCCCCTTTGAAACATGAAGGAAACAATATGGAAAACATACTAGTATTATCCACTTTCCTGTAGCCCTTGAACCTTCTTACCCTAACTAACTATGTAAAGATTGTCAAATTAAAAAAAAAAAAATCACTGCCCATGGCCTGGTGTATTACCCTAGTGCCTCAATCCTTGCCTTGCATGGACCAGAATTCCATGTGTGCACCAGTTTGTATCCTGGCTACTCCACATCCTGTCCAGTTCCTTTCTTGTAGCCTGAGAGGGCAGTGGGAGGTTCC